AATCCGTTTGAAACTTTAACCAAAAATTCTAGAATTCTTGAAAATGAAATTAGACTCTTGCTATTTGCATTATTTTCTTTTGTCAAACAATTACTGAGTCGCATGAGAAATAAGGGATTATTAGAAAACTGTGCTGTAAAAGATGGGCTTTGATTTGTCATAAAATACATGCACATTGATGAAACAAGTTCTGATTCTTTTTTATCCCCAAGAACGATATCAATAATTTCCTGAATGTTTGGTACTAAATAATCTATCAAATTTTTAAGCTGGCGTTTGAAAGCAGCTCTTACATTTGGGCACTTGGCAAGCTGTTCTAATGAGCAATCAGGGCTTGCGACCAATTCGATAATATTCTGAAAAGTATCTCTTCTAAATCTCCAAGTCATTTTTTTTTTTTTTTTTTTTTTATTTGAATGATGAACATTTTAAAAAGTTTGATAATCATAGAAAAAACTAACGTATGGAAATCTTTTAACGTATTTTCTGTAACTATTCCCAATTTACTATTTCAAAAACAAATATAAATCATAACACATTTATTTGTGAAGAACTTTAAATGCTATCTCTTTCAAAAAAATTACGTTTTTATTTGAAACCTATTCAAAAAGTTTTGAATCGAAAAATAGATATAATGTTCATAAAACTTTATAAGACTCATGAAAAAAAATGAAAAATTATTCTTTACAAACACAATTCAATAAATCAAAGAGAATTGTACTAGTTTATAATTCCAATATATATTGGTGATCAAGATTTAATCTTGAAGATTAATCTTAGTTGATTGCTTTTTTTTCATTAATTGCAAAATTTTACTTTATACTACCATTGCATACATTCTCTTAAAATATTGAACATACGATTTTGCGATATTTTAAAATTTTTGATCAAATATTTAAAATTGCTTGCAAAGTTAAAATGGCATTGATTGACAAATCACTGAAAAATAAATTGAAGAATATATGCTTTATTTTTTTTTTTTTAAAAAAAAGTAAAAAAAAAAAAGGATAAATACAAATAATCGATTTAGCTAAATGAATCTATGAAGTAAATCTAACTGTTCATAAAGAGTTTTAACTGATGGAAACTTATCTTTGTTTTCTTTTATTTCATTGATTGCCATGGAAAGCAAGTTTGAAAAGAAGTCAACAACACTAATTTTTTTGGTATTATTTTCTTGAATAAAGGTTTTGTAAAGAATCATTTTATCATTACTGACAGCATAATTAAAAATAAATTTTGCAAGTTCAATTTTAGGATCAGAAGTTTTTAAGAAAGGAGCAAGTAATGCATGAGGCTCACCATCTTTTAAGGAATTTTCTGGGCTAACATAAAATTCTTGAAGCATACACAAAATTAATGGAATTGTAACGAATAAGTCTCCAAATGATATTTGATTATCATTTGACTTGAATTGATTATACAAATAATAGCAAACTGATTCTATATAACTAAACACTCCAAAATTAGAAAGATTATCATCAAAATACTTTTTTAAACCATCATTATTAAAATCTATAATTTTTTCAGGATTTGAATATTGGATTTTTTGGAGATTATTTGAAAAGTGGGAAAGAAGTAAGGGATATTCGATCTTTTTCATTAAAACAATCATTGTTCGAAAACGTTCTCGGGCAATATCTCTATTACAGTTGAAACCTTTGCAAGATTTAATTAATGTATCTTTTGCATCTCTATTTTTTATTATTGCGTTTGCTTCAATCGATTCACAACATTTAGTTTTCAAAGAATCCAAAAAGCTGGTAAAATAGTTAAGTAAATCAGAATAGCCTTTTTCTTCAATATAAAATTGTTGGAATTTATAAATTAATTCTGGTTCAACAATTTTTTTATACTCTTTAAAAATATCATCATAGATTTCCATGAAAAAGCTAAAGTCAGAAGAACTTTCATACTCATAAAATAAGTTTGAAAATTGTTTGAACAATTTTATCAAGTTGGTTGTATAAATAGAATAGAAAAAATCAGAAAAAGATTGATTATTGTGCTTCATTAAATTGACAAAACGTAAGATATAAATTTGAATGAATGTTTCTTGAACATTTTTGATTTTTTTTAATGGAATGACAATTGTCATATGTCTAGATATTTGATCTCTGTATTCCAAGAGCATTTCACGTTCATGATATGTATTAATTAGGCCATAATAAGCTAGTTCTTTATCAAATGGCTGATCATTAAATATGGGAGAGAGAGGATTCTCATTTATTGATTTGCATTTACTAACATGATTATTCCATTTATTTTCAAGATCACTATTTTTAATTTTATATGGTTTTTTGAATAATTTTTCATGTTGGCTTTGGAAAACAAAATAACCAAAATCGAATGCTTTGCTCAAAATGAAATCTATAAGTTCATCAGCATTATTTTCAAGTGATATGAGTTTTTTAACGTCTTCTTGATATATTTCTTGATTACAAATACGAGAAAGAAGAATAATATCAAAATTTGAGATAAGCATTGATTCATTTTCGGTGATTAGCAAGCATGATAATTTTATATCATTTTGTTCAGTTAATTTTAACGCTGTTTTAAAGAAATTTGCCAGAAAAGTTTCAAGGTTCTCTAATGAGTTTTCATCTTTTTTGTATTTTGCTTCTATATCGTTATATAGTTGACATATTAGTTTTCCATTTCTGTTTAACATTACATTTGATGAAAACAATGGCGAGTATGGCCAAATATATTTTAAATTATATAAAATTATGTTAGTTAAAATTAGTTCTTCAGCTTTATGCTGATCCTTTTCATAAAGAATTTGAATAACTTTGATTTGTTCGGAATTTAATTTGTACAATGCTTGAGTTAAAGCAGATTCAATAACTTTTTCGTAATAATCAAATTTATATTCTTTTTCGCACCATTCATAAGATTTTTCGTTAAAAAAATTTATTTTTGTGTAAAATACATTCAAAAAAGTATTTTGGAAAAGATAGTTATTTTCAATAAGAGATAAAGCACCATTTGCAAAAATTTCGATATTATCTTGAAATTTTTGTAAAAAACTTAAAGCCATTACACAATGTTCTTTGGAGATAAATGAACCAAAAAGGTTTGGAAAAGCAACGGTCCAAAAGTAGAAACTTAAAATAGAATTTGGATTTTTATCAAAGTAATCTAGAAAATAAATATTAAGTTTACCAACTTTAAAATCCAATAAGAATTGTTTCTTAACAAGTTCATCAATTTTGCAAATAGATGGAATTAAAAATTGAGAAATAGATTTTTCATAGTATAATTGAAAGCGTAGTAATTCTATTAATATGCAGTTTTCATTATAATCATGATTTAAGTTTAAAAAAAAATCGGTTGTGCTCTTTTCTAAAGATTCCTGAGTAATGAAAATATTCATCCAGTTTTTGCTCATTTTGTTTTTATATTGTAAAAATGTTTTTTCATCATAATTATTTGGAGGCTCTTGAAACTCAGTCATCCAATTATTTGATGACAAAATTTTTGTCAAATTTTCTGGATGTATTAATATATCAAAATATAATAATTTAAATTGAAATAAAATATCAAGAGTATTGATTTCATTTTCAAAGCTTATATAAAATGTTATATAAAAAACATAAAAGTTCAGATTTATAATAATTTCCTCAATAGTTTTAAGATCCACTTTTTGAAAAAAGAAAAATTCAATCTATTAAATTAATGAGAAGAAGAAATGCAAATAAGCAAACATCAACACAAATCATCAATATTGACGAAAAAGAAGAGCATGTAGATATTGATCTTTCTGACTTTCAAAAGAAACTTCCTAATTATTCAAAAATTCAAACATCTCGTCAATCAGTTCTTCCAAATTTATCAAGTTTGCTTCAATCTAGTTCAATATCTGGTTCAAATCCGGTGGATGAAATTAATGATGCCAATACTAACAACTCTTATTCATATTCATATTCTTATTCTAGTTCTTCAGATGATGGAAACAACGAAAATATAGATGACAGAGATATTCCTAAAGAAAGTTTAGAAACTCAAGAAATGAATTCGGTTTTCCAACAATTATTTGACAAATTTGGCACCTATGACGATCAAGATTCAAGTCAAATAGAAAAAAAAATTCAAGAAGCAAAAGAGGAAAGAGCAAAAATTCAACAAGAAATAGAAAAAATAGATTCAACAATCGGATCTAATGCATCAAATTCAATATGGGCACAAAAACAATTTTTTACTGAATTAATTAATTTTATTGATACGGCATCATCTACAGGTTTCAAAGATTTCAATGAAGTCAAGCCAGAATATCTCTCTATTGACTATTCTATTGAAAAAATTAAAAACTTTCAAAGACTTGATTCAGAGTTATATAAATCTAGTGGATTTCCAGAAGCTGTGCAAGAAATATTTGAATTTTATGCTATAATCGAGACGAATGATTTTTCATTTATTGAAAACAAGCCGCTGATTGATCTTCAATGGATAAGAACAGGATGGAAATGGACAGATGAGTTTGGAAATCCAGATCTTGTTCCAAAAGTTTTTGAAACCACATGTCTTCCTATTCTTCTAAATAAATTAAGGAAAGAAGATATTCAAACCGAAGAAAATTTTCATTTGGCATTCTTACATTGCGTTGAAATATGCGATTATTGTAATAATACATCAGTGGCTGAATCACAGCTTTTTAGCGTATTAAAAAAGAGGTTAGAATCTGCATTTGGAACAGGCAAATTAAAATATGAAGTTTATAACAAGTTAATGATTGACTTTGGCTTTAAAAATGTTAAGTCATGGGAAAATGGTCCATTTTAAATTTTTAATTGGTGTTTTGTATAAAAATGTTTTTTTTTTTTTTTCTAATATTTGAATCTTAGAAACGAAAAATAAACGAATTAAATAATGATTGAAGAAAGTATAAGCATAGAATTTTTGGAATGACAGGTTGAAAAATAGACAACACATTTTTTTAATGAAGAATAAATTAATCGTTTTATTTTTAAATATTATTAAAATTTTCAATAGATGCAAGAGGGTGTTTAGCTCAGTGGTAGAGCGCTACATTTGCATTGTAGAGGCCAGGAGTTCGATCCTCCTAACATCCATATTTTTTTTATTTTTAGTCCTTACCTTTTTAGCCAACGATAATGGCATATTTGCAATCAGCAGAAGACGCTAATTCGTTTGATACCCCTCCCGCTAATTTTCGCGAAAATTTTTCTAACGATATCTCTTTTTATAAAGAAAACCTACCTAACCGACCCACTTCACCTCACCAACCCAATTCTTTACTTTATACGAATCAAACATCTATACCAAACTTTATAGACCAACCTTATCAAGATATATTCCTTTTCACGAATTACCATGAAAATCGTAAACTATCTCAATTTTCGGAGTCTAGCAAGTTTAATTATGACTCCTTTTCTATTTTCAATCCAAACACTTTTGAAATTCAATTTTATAATTTTAATAAATTTTCTTTTAACAACCGCGAACATTGTATTAAACAACATCGCCCAACAAATAAACAATTTACTCCAAATGTTTACCATTTACAACATCCACCTAAATCTCATTTTGATATCCCAATTTCTCAACAACATAAACCACATCATAACCAGCTAATTCAATCGCAGATACAGAATAACAAACTGAAGAATTCTCAACAACAGAATATCCAATTGACGCAATCACAACAACAGACTCACCATTCAAATCTTTCACAAGTACAGAATAATCAACCGCAGACTGAACTATCAATACTATCGCACAAACAGTCAAGTCAGCCGATACAATCACAAAAACATCAACAGCTTTCTACGCAGCCACAATATCTGATTAATCATTCTCGGCGGTCAATTCCACCAAACAACCAGTCAACAAGACCAAATCTATGGAGTAAACAGATGACACATTCGAACTTTCGGAATTTCCAGTCAATGCATTCACAAACACAAAACAGCCAATTGCTACATTCTCAGATACAGAACAACCAATCGATATATTCACTGACACAGAGCGCACGGATGCAAATCAACCAGTCGATGCACTCACAGACACACAGCAAACAGAAGATGCATTCACAGTCACAAAACAACCAGTCTTTGAACTCACAGACTCACAGCAACCAATGGCACCCACTTACGCAAAGCAACCAGTCGATGCTTTCACAGACGCAAAGCAACCAGTCGATACATTCACAGAAGCATAGCATCCAGATGATACATTCACAAATACAGAACATTCAATCGATGCATTCTAAGACGCAAAACAATCAGTCAATACATTCATTGACGCAAAACAATCTACTGAGGCATTTACAGATGCAAACCAAACAGTCGATGTATTCAAAGTCACAGAACAATCAAATGTTGCATTCAAAGACACAAAATAACCAGTCAATACATCCATCGATACAGAGCAATCAGCCAATACAGTCTCATACACTGTACATCCAATCGATGCACTCACAGAAACAGATTCAGAACAACTATCCGAAGAATTTACTGTTTCAAAACAGCCAATCATTACATTTGCAATCACAGTACTACCAGACACTGACTCCTTCACAAGTTATTAGCTCTAACGTTGATGAAGAAAATCTGACATTCGCCATGAAAATGAAGAGAGGGCTAGTTGAAGACCCAACTATCTGTACAGAAATAGATACGATTAATGCCCCCAGTACAACAGTTGATGACGATGAAATCGAAGAATTTGACTATAAACAAGATGATTTCCTCTTCCTCCCGGAATTGAATCCATTGACTCAACTAAAGCAGTCATTTGATAATGAAGAAAATCTGACATTTATCATGAAAATGAAGAAAGGACTGGTTGAAGACCCTACTTCATATACAGATAATGATATACTTTGTGTCACCAGTACAACATCTAATGACGAAGACATCGAGGAGTTCGACTACAAGCCGGATTCCTTCCTCTTCCTTCAGGAATTGAACCCATCGACTCAATTAATGAATTCATTTGACAACGAAGAAAATTCCACATTTATCATGAAATTGAAGAGAGGACTTGTTGAAGACCCAAGTATTGATACAGAAAACGAGGTATGTAAAGTTCCTAGTACAACAGTTGATGACGAAGACATCGAGGAGTTCGACTACAAGCCGGATACCTTCCTCTTCCTTCAGGAATTGAACCCATCGACTCAATTAATGAATTCATTTGACAACGAAGAAAATCTGACATTTATCATGAAAATGAAGAAAGGACTGGTTGAAGACCCTACTTCATATACAGATAATGATATACTTTGTGTCACCAGTACAACATCTAATGACGAAGACATCGAGGAGTTCGACTACAAGCCGGATTCCTTCCTCTTCCTTCAGGAATTGAACCCATCGACTCAATTAATGAATTCATTTGACAACGAAGAAAATTCCACATTTATCATGAAATTGAAGAGAGGACTTGTTGAAGACCCAAGTATTGATACAGAAAACGAGGTATGTAAAGTTCCTAGTACAACAGTTGATGACGAAGACATCGAGGAGTTCGACTACAAGCCGGATACCTTCCTCTTCCTTCAGGAATTGAACCCATCGACTCAATTAATGAATTCATTTGACAACGAAGAAAATTCCACATTTATCATGAAAATGAAGAGAGGGCTTGTTGAAGACCCATCCATTTTAACAGAGTTTGACACAACAATAGTCTCCAATCCAATATTGGATAATTTTGACACAGATGATTTTGATTATAAAACTGACTCTTTTCTTTTTTCCCCTGAGTTGAGCTTAACTTCTCATATTTCATTTCCTGCAGATACAAAGCAATATGTCGATAAATTCACTAATATAGAACAAACAGGCGTTTCATTCACAAATACAAAGCAATCAATCAATGATTTCACAAGTGCTAAGCAACCAATTGTAGTTTGCAATGATGCAGAACAATCTATTGATGCATTTGTAAATGCAGGACAACCAGTTGATACATTAAGAGATCCAGAACATCCAGTCAAGACATTCAATGTCGCGGAACAATCAGCCGATGCACTCAAAGACGCAGAATTATCTGATGACGCATTCACTAATACAGAACATTCTGTCGACGCATTTGCAGACACAGGACATCCATTTGAAGAACCCATTGGCGCTGAACACACAAATGCAAAACAAGTAAATGATGTTATCACAGACACTGAACAACCAATTAATGAATTCACTGACACTAATTATGTAGATACAGAACAATCAGACGATGCACTCACAGACACTGAACACACAAATGCAGATCAACCAGCTGATGCATTCAAGCAACCTGAGGCATTCATAGATGCAGAGCAACCAGTCTATTTATCCACAGACCTTGAGCAATCAGACGAAACATTCGAAGCCACTGGACAAGCAGACGCAGTACTACGAATCGATTCTTTCGAAGACACAGAACAATTAATCGATGCTATCACTGACGCAAAAATATTAGCCGATACATTCACAGATGATGAACACACAGATGCAGATCAACCAGTCGATGTAGTTGCAGACATAGGACTACCACCCGATACTTTTGCAGAAGCTGAAAACACATTTGCAGAAAAACCAGTCGATACATTCACAGGCTCAGATCTATCAGAAGATACATTCACAGGTACTGAACAACTAACTGATACACTCTCAGATGCAGTACTACCGGCCAATTCATTCACAGACACAGTACAATCAGTCGATGCGCTCGCTGATACTAAACAACTAATGGATTCATCCACTTATCCAGAGCAATTAGACGATGCATTCACACCTGCAAAAAATTCTTTCAAATCAGTCACTCTGTCAACTCATTCTAAGAAGCAGCAGCAAAACCAAGTAAATCGCTCGCACCAGCAGCAAATTCGTTTCAAGCACTTTCGCCAACAGCACAAATACCAAAAACATAAACAAAGGACACTGTCAAAACGTCATATTGACCAAACAAAACAGAAAGACCAATCAAATGCACTCGCTGAGAACAATTCAACCCAATCTAAGCATAAAGAGGAGAAAGACAGTTCTATCACAGGTGCTGATAATTCTTTGCATGATAAACAGTCCCCTGTTAATTCTAATGATTTCCGTTCCCATGACTCTGATTTCATGGATAGATGTGAAATAGTTCTCGCTCCTTCACCCACAAATTCCGATTCCTCTCTTTCTTACTCCTCTGATGATTGTGATGCTTTCGATATCTTAAATCCTGTAATCTCTCTACCTAAAGATTCTAATAATTCTCATAAGAAGATAAACAACAGCAACATTCTGTATGACATTACACAAAACTTTCAACATCTATGCTGGTCAGAAAAAGATGATAGCAGACTCCTCAGTCTCTTCAATAAATTTGGTCCTAATTGGAACAAAATTGCTAATAGAATGAACAAAAACTGTGATGACATCAAATTACATTTCAATTTTCTTATCAATCAAAGAGACTTTTGTAATACTAGCTCAGATTCTTCTTATGATGATTGTTTTGACCGTAATCAGCAGCAGGATTCTAATGACATGACTTACACTTATCTAGAAGACGAAATAATACTACAATGTTATGCTGCTGACATTTCGACTGATCTAAGCAAATATCCAGATTTACTACATGATAAATCTTTTAAGCAGTGCAAGGAAAGATTACATAACGTTCTCCTCTATAAAACAAACAAAACAGCTTGGTGCAAATTTGAAGATGACATCTTATTAGAATCTTATTGGATGATTGGACCTAGATGGCTGTCATTGAGCCGACTTATTAAACAGCACGATCCCCACGATATTCGTTGTAGATGTGCAATTCTCCTCAAGTCTTCTCTCAATCTCAACTATGAGATCTCAGACTTCATTGACTTCGATAAAGTTAGAATCAATATCAACAAAGGTTCAAACACTCATTCCATTAATACCTCACAGGAAATCTCCAGTTATGACACATTAATTGATGACATCACGTACAGTCCAAATCAAGATGAATATTGTTCACCAAATTCTAGCTCAACCTCATTTGAAGATTCGCTTATCGACTGCCTTAACGTTCAAGATGATTCTGATACAACCATTTTATTATCAAATCTCAAAAACACAGAGTATCTCTGTGAGAAGAC